AACAATGGCCAAAATCAAGAAATCAGCCAATAACAAATACTGCTGAGGTGGTGGGGAAAAAGAACCCTCCTCCATTGTTGATGGGAGTGTAAACAGGCGCAACCACTGTGGACATCAGTGTGGCAGTGCCTCAAAAAGCTAGGATTAGATGAAGACAAGAAGAGGGCGGCTTGATAGGTGGCTGTGTGGAGAGTCTCTCTGGGAAAAACAGCTCAGATGCTGGAATTTGACAGCATGGAGAGGGCTGGACAAGGGGAGAGCTGCATTAATTCAGGGTGAGTGCTGCAAATTGGGTCCTGCAGCAGGTGTGGCCGGCTGGAAGACATATTGGAGTTGGGCAGAATAGGCCTGCGTCCAGCGCTGCAGTGGCATCAGTCAGCCAGCCCTGGCCCAAAGAGGACTGGTGGGACCTGCCTGGGCTGAGCCACGCCCCTGGCTGGGACCCAATAGCCAGGGGTGGAACAGTCCCGAACCTGTGACGTCCACCACAGCACAGCCTAAGTTGCTGAAGGTATTCACCGGTTGACTGGCTCAGAGGAGAGGGGCCAGCCCACATCATCCCTGTGTGCACCTCAGATAACAGCAAACTGGAGAAGGCAGCAAGCCCCCAGGAAGCACACTTCAGAAAAACCCTAAGCAAGAGGGCCTGAGACCTCCACCTACAGGAGGAATCCTCCACCTTTCAGACAAGAGAGACCTCCCCCTGTCTGAGAGAAACCAGAAACATGACAAGAAAAAGAAACAAGAAAAAGCCTCTAGCCACTGACCCTGGGAAAATAACTCCAGGAGAAGTAAATACAGAAGAGATCCAGTGCAGCAATCATGCAACATTGGCCACAATATCAGCAGACATAAAGAAATACCTTTGTGACCTCATAGATGAACTTAAAAACTGAAATTCTAATCCAAGTGAGTCAAGATATAAAAAGATTAATAAAATAAATGCTAAGCCCCTCTCAAGAAGACACAGATGGAAGAATGGAGGAACCCAGAAAAAGAAGAGAAACCTTTGGTGAAAAATATAACAAAACCTAGAATACATGAAACAGATCCAAAGAGATTACCAGGAAATTAAAAACTCCATTGAAAGCTGGCAAAATGGCTTGAACAGAAACTAAAGTTAGCCTTTCAAAACTTGAAGATAGATTCGCAACATGTAATCGTGAAAGAAAAGACCTCTTAAAAATAACAAGGAACCAGGAAGTAACAATTCAAAAGCTAGAAGATGACAAGAGGATCTATAACTTAAGAATAAAAAATGTGAGCAAAGAAGCAGGAGTAAACACAAATGAATTACAAAGGCTATCCACAGAAATAATTAACGAAAACTTCCCAAGCATAGGAAAAAGAAATGATATCCAGATAAATGAGGCATACAGAACTCCAATCAACTACAACCAAAACAGATCTACACCCAGACATATAATAATAAAGATCCCAGAAATTCACTACAAGAACAGAATATTAAAAGGGGTCAGAGAAAAGAAGCAGATCATCTATAAAGGAAAATCCATCAAAATAACGACAGACTTCTCAACACAAACTATCAAATCGAGAAGAGCCTGGAGTGAGGTAGTCCAAGCCCTGAAAGAGAATAACCTCCAACCCAGATTGATGTACCCGGAAAAACTCTTTCTCAAAAGTAATGGAGATACAAGGTGTTTCCAAGACAAGGAGGAACTGTGGGAGTTCATGGCTACCAATCCAATCCTACAAAAAATACCGAAGGACATTCTAGAGAGAGATAGAAAAAAATACCAGGATTCCAGCGTGGCAGAGAGGCCTCAATGAATGGGGCAGACGGTGGAATGAAGGAGAAAAGTCAACAAATAATAGCAGAAAAATAAAATAGCAGAGATGAGGCAGAGAAGGTGGGCTATAATCTTTAATATAGATAGCCTTGATACAGTAACAAAAAGAAACACAGGCAGAGTAGATTAGGAGGCTCTGAATAGGAAATATACTCAACCTGAAAGAGGGTTAGTAAACTGAAAGTCAAAGATGAGAAAACGATGCTCTATATGATAGGGAACCAGAGAGAAATAGGAACAACTTGTCCAGCAGCCGCAGATAGGTTGGAATGTTATGACACTTTTGTGCAGTGTAGAACTACACATCTAGAAGGAAGGAAAACCTTGTGGCTTTAGTAAGTAAAGGAGTACAGCTCAAGATCAAGCTCATGGGTAAAAAGGTTCAGCAACACTCAGATAATGGGTTGACCCCCTAATCTAGAAACTAAAGGAGCTAGGGGGACCCAAAATATACAAAGCATCCTGAGGGGAAAGGTGAGGAATTGCCTTAAAAAGGAAGGCAGAGGACATTGTTAATAGTGTATCAGGATTTAAAAGCCACATTAGTCTTATCACTCAGTTTAGTTTGACTTTAATTTGTTCCAGTCTATCTACTCATACTAGATTTGAGGGCACAGACAGCTCTCCCCAAAATAGCAGGATATACTACAGTAAATACCCTTAATTCTCTGTTTACTTAAACTGAAGCCCTGTATTACTTATATTGTCTTACTATGACTGATCTTATTTGAATCTGGTTTGTTAGATCGCTGTTTTGTCCTGACATTTTATTTGAATTTGGTATGCTTGATAGTATCAAGTTTAAGAGTAGAGGCAACTGCTTTGAAGATGACAAGATATAATAAGATACCCATTCCAGTTTGATTATTAACTGCTTTTGAAGTTCTACAATGTCTCCAATGCTGTGCTTTTATTAAAGTTGCTATGTAATGCTATGTTCAATTATATTATGTCTGATGATATAGACAATTCTATTGAAAATAAGAAAGTATAGTAACTACTGTAGATCACCTAATAATGTGGTTTTATATGTCTTTTTCATTTTATGTTTTTCTAGGAATTTGTTTTGTAGTCTTGTTTTGATCTGTTTTTTCCTAACACAGAAAGGATGGGTATGCATGTAAAGATTCACACATGTGGAGAATTTCTAAACAGCTTATGGGGATGGTTATATAATACACAATGCAATGAACAGATACTCTGAAGAAGAAACACTAAGATACCCAGTGCTAATTCTGTAGCATTATGAAATAAAATCTAGCAATACTATTATTCACTGTTCAGAGTGATATTAGTCTAGCCTCTTATGTTCAATTTCAGCATCTGTAAAGATTTGGACAGCTACTATGAAGAGAATGAGAGACATTATGGCAGCCATTGTTGACTTCCCCCATGTCAGGTCTTGGAGACCTAAAAAGCCTTCATCATCCTGTTCTGATTAGATTAGTTCTATAATGTTCAGTATGTACACACTGTGTGTGAAGCTGGGGACAACTATTTGGAAGAAAACTGGAGACAATAAGATAGACAGTGAAGATCTCCAGTGGACTCGCTTTGAAATCATGTTTTTAAAAATTGTTTCTTTATGATCTATTTTGTTCTGTTTTGTTATGTTTAATCTTATCCTCCTTAAAATTAAAAAAAAAGTTAAAAAAAAAAAAGCTAGGATTAGAGATCCCATTCAACTCAGATACCCAGTTTCTGGGCGTTTTCCCAGAAAAAGTGAAAACATCATATCACAGTGACATATGTGTACACACATTTATAACAGTACAATTTTGTCACAGCCAAATCTTGGAAACAGCCCACACATCTTGGCTGTGGGGTGTCCGGGCGCAGCTGATGGCTCTCTGGAGAGCTGGGTGTGGACCTCGGGAAGTGTGCAGGGCTCCAACCATGTGTGGGCATGGCCACCAGCTTCACCTCCTTCGCCAGGTCCCTGCGCTCTGCGCTCCCGGGCACCGAGGGGTCCCTAGCACGCGTGCCCCACAGGCTTGCCCTGGAGCAGGAGCCACAGCCCGGGTCTGGGAGGAAAAGGCGAGACGAAAAGGCGCTGCTGCTTCACGGAGCACTTTTCCCTGTTTGGAAAGAAAAAGATCATATTCTTATACAATGGAGTACTACTCAGCTGTAAAGAAGGATGACTCAAGGCTTTTATAAGTAAATGGATGCAGCTACTCATTAGTGAAATAAATCAGACTCAGATGTGCAAATTCCATATTGTCTCCCTGGTGTAAGAAACTGAATGAGTAAATAAGATTCAAAATTTACAGTAGATATTGTGAAAAAGTAAGAAATTACTCAAAGGGGAAAAATAACAGGGATGGGGGAAACAGAAAAGTAAAAGATATAAATGTGTGTGTGTGTGTACATACATACACAAGCTAGCTAAAATGATTATACTATTAATTCTATTAGTTCTTGGAAAAGAACAGTTAATACTCTTATGATCTGATCATTTTTGCATCTCTATATCTGGTAATCTAAGCAACTCTTTGGAAGATAACACTATGCAATAACAACCATTGAAAAATTTCTGTCATCTTGGTTTGAAGGCCTATATTGTTATTGTTTGGGATTTTTAAATTATTCTAGTAGTTGTTACTTGTTTGTCTCTTTTGTTTTTTGTTTTCTTTTCTGTGTTCTTTCCCTTTAAAATAACATAAAATATGTCCTACAGGAAATTATGGAAATGTTTTCAGGAGTATATTTGTAAAATTATTTTCTTCTCCTATATAATCATAACAAAGCAATTTGAAAAGAATTTTAAAATTAAAAATAAAAATGGTAAGGTTTCATATCTTCACATTATCTGTAAAAACATTAGCAAATGACTGTGACAGAAGAGTTGACATGCATTACAGTGATACATGTGGATTTTGGGGGAAAATTATTTGAAAGACATCAAGAAAATAGTAGCAATTAAGCTTGACTTCTAGCAGGGCAAAAGCAGCCATGGACTCAGCTTTTTGTCTTTTTGCTTTTCGATACAACATGCCTTTGGGTGCTTTTCCACTTTTTAGATAAACCATTTTACAACAATGAGGTGCCCTTTAGCTGGACAGTCAAATGCTCTGATTCTCAATTCTGTCCTGCCGCTCTCCTTTGCCTTACGTGCCGGCCCTCTATCTAGTTAAGTAATAAATAATTCATGGGCAACAGGATCCCTGTCATTCTGTGTCTTCCTAGTTCCCCCCAACATCCTGGTGCACTCGCTGCCTCCATATAGAACAGAAGAGGACGAGCCACTGAATGCCCTGGTAAGGTCACTGGCATTCTCTGAAATAGATATGTTGCTTTCCTGGTTTCTCCACTTGTCCAATGAAGCAAGGCGTGACACTCTGAAGATGTGTATGATAGATGACATGTATGATTTCCTTGGTGGGTAGATTTCAAGGGAGGGCATGTTACCAACTGAGATTTGATTCATGACATTAAAAGATGACAGCATCACTGCAAAGTGAAGGGCAATATACTTTATCCTCAGTGGCATTTTTTGGTACTAGGAAATACATTTTCTATGCCAAGCAATATAGAGTTCAGATGGCCCCATCCCCAAGAAGAGCTTGCATATTTTGACATAGATACGTTTGCTCTCTTTTACCATAAAATTTCCTTGTGCTGACCACAGTTTTCCACTGATTTTCCTAATGTTACCTTTAGGAAAGATCTGTGCACACAAAAGACAGCATAGTGTGAGTCTTACAGGGACTCCTTCTCTGTCATTACAGGTGGACACCGGAGGAATTCAAGATGGCACCTGCAGGACTCATGCACTTGCTGGTGAGTCATGATGGGAAAGGCAGGCTGTTTTGTGGCTTTAGTGTGCCAGCCACCCTGATTCCAGGTTCCTGCTACGAATGAGGTCTGAGCATGTGCTGGTATAAATTCATTTTCCACATAAAAAAACCTAAGCTGTTCTCTGTGGTTCCTGGTGGCAACCGTAGATTTGGTGGTGTGGGATTGTGTGCAAGTGTGTTAGGTAGTCCATGTGTGTGATTCTGAGTGTGTGTGTTTGTGTGGATCACTAGACACATACGTAGTAACAACTTGCTTCTCAAAAGCATCTGGCAAAATTTTGTTTTTGTTTGCAAACTCTACACTGGGTGACAAACACAAATGGGGTCATCTTTCCCACACAAACCCAAACGTAGCCAACTTTTCCAAAATCGTGGAACAAATTAAATTTGTGAACTGAGGTACTACCATATTCTCTATGTTGCAAGTGTCAGTGTGGTCAATCTAAAATGCCATCCTCGTTGGAGCATGATTCTACTTACCTGTGAAAATTAATCAAATTATGAGCATTTTATGTGTGTATTTCACCATATCTCAATTAACATTTTCACTTTTATTTTATAGAGAAAAACAGTAACAATGATACAAAATTTCAAAACAAGATGGAGAGTAACAATACATTGAGTATAGTTGTCTTCAAAGTAATTGCTCAGATTATAAGCAGCAGGCGTGAAAATGGATTAAACAATATAAACACAACTCTTTCTTTTCAATGAACTAAAAAAATTAGTAGTACATTATCTTAACTGTCATGTATGTTTGTTTTTCCTTTTCCCTTTCTTTCTCTTTCCTTTTAGACAGTTTCTTCTCATTTCACAGTATCTATTGTACGTTTTATATTATTTAATCTCTCAGTTTCTTACACTAGAGATGATATGATGTTTACACATGCAAGTCTGATTTATTTCACTTATGAGTATGGTCTCAAGTTGCATCTATTTATCTCTAAAAGACTCAAGTTCATCCTCCTTTGTAGCTGAGTAGCACTCTATTGTATAAAAACACCACATCTTCTTTATCCATTCTTTGGTTAATGGGCATTTGGGTTGTTTCCATGATTTAGCTATGACAAATTGGGCTGCTGTAAACCTGCGTGCATGTATGTATCTGTGGAATGAGATTTTTAATTCTTCTGGGAAGATACCCGGAAGGGGACTAGCTGGGTTCGAATAGGATCTCTAATTCTAGCTTTTGAGGAATCTCCATACTGATTTCCACAGTGGATGCACCAGTCTGCACTCCCACTAACAATGGAGAAGGGTTCCTTTTCCCCACAGCCCCCCACCTAACATTTGGTGCTGCTTGATTGATGATAGCCATTCTTTCTGGGGTGAGAAGGAATCCCAGGGTTGTTTTAATCAGTGATGTTGAACATTTTTACATATATTTATTTGCCATTTGTATTTCTTCATCTGAGAAGTATGTATTTATCTCAGATGCCCATTTTTAGGTTGGGTCTTTGAATCTGGGGCAGGATCTGAGTTTTTTCAGTTCTCTATGTTCTAGAAAGAAGTCCTTTGTCTGAGGGACAATTGGCTAAATAGTTTTCCCTTGCTGTGGGCTGGCTTTTCACACTGATAGTGATGTCTTTTGATGTGCAAAAGCATTTTAAGAAGATGAAATACTAGTTGTTAATTCAATTAACATTTTAAAAACTCATCAGAACCCAGGGTAATGTTCACAGGGCTCTATAAGAATAAAACTACATTTCCTAACTTCTGTTACTGGGCCAATAGCAACTTCATTTACTTATCAACCCCCGTATTGGGGTACCTCTGTGCTTCCTCGTGGGCTTTTTTATTTTATTTTATTTTTTTCTGGTCTGAGAATTTAACCCAGGGCTTTTGAATGCAGCTCAAGTCCCTACAATCTCTTTCCCTTTTTATTCTGAGTCTTGCTAATTTTATGGATTGTCTACAAGGTCTCCAACTTGTGATCCTGCTTATCTTCTCTGAGTGCTGGGATTATAGTACACGCCATCACGCTCAGCTTCCTTGGAGCTTTTGGATGCTCATGATTTTTTACTCGTCACATTTATCTCATTCACAGTCCCTTTCCATGGAAGGCCCCAACAATGGCAGTTAACACCACCTGAAATCCAAAAGAGGCAGACAAGAGATGCCATGTGCCTAGTTCACTGACCTAGATTGGTAGGATTGGAATCAGCTAAAGGGATGACAGGTTCCTCGGCCTTTACTTGGGCTGGAACAGTAATGAGTTTACATTTTCCCCTGCTCTTAGAAGTCACTTGACAAACAGTCCTTGTATGGACACTGCTGGCTGATTGACATCTGGTGGAAAAACATATTTAACCTCGGAGGAGGCTCACAGACAGTTTTCAACACAGAGCTCACGGGGAAACCCTGGTTCCAGTGCAGGCTGTGCTCAGGACCATGGAGGGGGCTGATCCCACAGTCCAGGGGGACCTTGTTGAACCCAGGCATGGTCTGCATGGCATCGCTTTCAGAGGATCTCTGACATGTACTGGAATCTTCAGTCCCAAACTCTGCATTCTCACTTTCATAGAAGAATCCTGGCCCTAGCTGGTCGCTGTCAAGGCCACGGCTGTGTCATTTTTTCTTGTCCCAGAGTTCAAACTTCTCTTAGGCCGGGTGTGTCCCATGAGTACCCCTCGGGCTAGGATCTTCACAGACGTAGAAAGTTTGCTGCTGTCCGATCTGTCGAGTCTGGGGTCTTCGCAGCCTGTACTCCAGGGTGAGGGGCCCGAGGACCAGCACTGCGGCCCTCCAGCTCCACCACTCCTTCTGCTGAGATCATGGACAGAAGGAGTCTGTGGTCCCTGCCTGTCTCCTCTGTGTACATGTGGCCTTCCCAGAAGTCATGTGGACCTGGATGTTGACTTCACGGTATTAAGTATCCGTGGATCCTCACATGCTCTCCAGCTCTATTGCCCAGAAAACACATATAAATGAAAAATTGGATGCAGCCAGCAAATTCCTTTCGGAGGCAACACCAAGAAAGGAAGTCATGCCTTCCTCATTTTTGGGTCTCTAGGTATGCTCTCTCTATGTGACAGCCACTACACTGATGAGTGTATGTATATTTAAATTAACTTACGTAAGTAAAGTCAAACACTGAGAACCTCCTCGTACTAGCCACATTTCAGGAGATGGCTAGTCCCATGTTTGAGAACGCAGAGAGGACATTCCCATCCTCACAGCACACTTGAGGGTGGCTGTTCTCTTCTGATTGAGTCTGTAAACAGATTCCCTGGTGTCTGTGCATCTCAGTCAGAGTTCCAGGTTAATCCCTCTGGAGGTGAGCCGTGCAAGGGGAAAGTGATACAGTGATTTCTTTAATCCTGTCTCAGTTGGAGCCTTAACACCACTGGCATTGTCTGTCAAGGCTTCATATTCCATGGAATAAACACTTCCCTGCTTCTACCTCTGTCACGAGTCACGGAGCTTGTCTTTTGTGGTTCGTATGACCTGAAGTTTTGCATAAGAGATTTTGATGCCTGCACTGTCCCTTGTAACCATGGAGACAGCTGTTCACCAGTGTGCCAGGTGGTGATGAGAAGGCTGCCCTCTCCCTGTGCACTTCCGGGGTCATAGAGCACTTCCTGTCCTGGCCTCACTGGCCAGTCCTGATTTGAAGTGGGGCTGGGTGAGTCTTCCTCTGGGCTTCTTGCACAGCTACTAGGTCCTCCTGGAGGACAGTGATGGGAATTAGATCCTTGACCAGTTTTCCTGCCCTTGTCCTTTACCCCCATCCAATTCCCACATTCTGGGGCTAGGACTAAAACCTGAATTTGCTTCCATTTGGGAGGCCCAAGTCCAGCTACCTTTTGAATCTAGAGGACATGAGGAAAAGGGCCGTATGCACTGTCCATCACGGCCTTGTGGGAGCGGGGCCAGGAGAACACTGCTCCTCAGTCCTAAAGCTTTCACCAGACAGTGCTCCCTGTCCTCACCCTCTCAGCCCACCCACTGCTTGGTGCAAGTCTTGCAAGATCCCATTTATTCGTATGCACATAAGTCCACAGCTGCAGGATTCCCTTGCAGATGAGGGGGATTTAGATAATTTCTTTTCTTCTACACTCGTGTTCATACTCTGCAGCAGCACAGGAAGTTTTTAGAATTTTGTGAAGATCAAATCCTTCCCAGTACCTAGGGCCAGGCTTCACTTTCTATGTATATTTTTTCTGTAATTCTCTCCGTTGGGATGCAACACAACCCCAGGCCCAGGACAGGTGCTTCCAGGTTTGCATTCATTTGTCCGTGGGTGAACTGATTAATTATCAGTGTATCCTTGTTCTTCCCCACAGTGCTGGAAAACCATATGACAGGGGAGGTTGACAAGAAGAAAAGAAATAGGACAGCAAAGAGACAGGTTGTGTGAAGTAGAGAGATAGGGAAAGGCAAGTCATGGGGACAGTGGCTGTCATGAGGAAGAGAGATACTGTACCCCTACCTCAGTACAGGGGTGACGGGGCTGGGCAACAGCCCTGGAGATGCCAGGAGACTGGCAGAGATCAAGTGACTGAGCCCCTGAGAGATACACAAAGAGATAAGGAAGAACTGAATGCTGAGCTGGGCTCCCCCAACAGCAGGAGCAGCGGGGTCTCGGGTTCTCTTTAGCTGGACTTAACTCTCCTTCCTTTCCCCAAGGTCACAGCATCACTGTCGTTGCCCTGGTTCACACAGATGCCGGTTTTGCAGATCCTGAGGATCAGACACAGGGAGCAGCAACTGGCACGTAGTCTTGTCCCTGCCCGTGTCTTGTCTGTCTTGTTACTTGTAAACTCTTCCTCGTGTTCACGCCTCATTCCCTCTTTCCCACGTCTGTGCTTTCTGTGCACCCTCCCAAGAGCCCATCCTCCTCTCCAGTGTCTCCCCTGCGACCCAGCACCTTTGTCTGCATTGCAGATTCCCACAAGGACACCTGTGAGGATGGGGACCTGGAGTCCAACGGCTCAGAGGACAGGGAGCTGCCAGAGGGATGGGGAAGGGCAGCCCCTCCCTGCCCGTCCGCTCCGTAGTCACAGTTTACTACCTGTGTGCCAAAGAATAGTTTATAAGTAAACTCTACTGCTCATGTTGGATGTTTTACTTTGTATATATTAAAGAGTATTTCACAATATATAATTAATATTGGTTATATTATTTTAAATAATAGTCCCAGGTACCAGTTGCTTGGAAACTTCTTTCTGTAAAACACATAATAGCAAAAAGAAAAATCCTAAAAAAAGTAGAAATTCATGGGTTTTAAAGCAGTCAACTTAGTGACCCCATCAGCTCCACACCCCTGTCCTACACCATTTTGTCTGCAGGAGGCAGAACATGACACATGGTGGATTCTCCAGGCCCACAGAGGCACCTGTGCTAGCCCAGTTGTGGGCTGGGCTCAGGGCATGCATGTCCCATTGGATACTGACTCTTGGCCTTAAAACTCTTGGTGGTAGAGGCCCTCGGTCAGTGATGGTAGCCTCTAAGAGACCTAGTGCCCAAACTACAACCTCAAACCTATTTATCTCAAAGTGCCAACATTGCAATTAAACCTGAATACTGAGGGTTTAGTTTAGTTTAGAAAAAAAACTCATGGACTTGGCTTGTGTGCCAACAGAGCAGGCTCTGCGTGCCCACTGCAGCACGCATGCCATAGGTTTGCCACCCTAAGTGTTTGGTGACCACTTCAGATACCTTGCTCATTTTTATTCCAGCCACAACAGATCCTCTATGTGCCTGAAGCCAGACATGTCTACACTTTCCTCACAGATGTTTCTCATCCAGTCGGGACTCTGGGCAGAGGGGAGAGAAACACCGGAGAAGGGGCTGTGCAAAGCAGCGGAGTAGACTTTGCAGGGGTCACTGGGGTCAGGATGTTTCCTCCCATCTCTTATTATGAGAAATTTTAAAGTTAAGAGAATGCTGGCATGAATGACCATGAATTCAACATCTAGAATATTCTATCAGCACTGTATTGTACCATTCGCCCTCCACATCCATGGATTCAACTAACCATGGATCAAAGCTCTTTCCTAAAACCTTATGTCTGTATTTATTACATTCAGACTTCCTTATACCCTAAACAATATAATAACTATTTATGTAGCATTCACATTCCTTTAAGTAATACAAGATATGTAGAGATGATTTAAAGTATGTGGGAGGATGTATGGAGGTTCTGTGAAAATACCAGGACATTTTACAGAAAAGACTTGAGCATCTGCAGATTTTGGTATCCACAGGGGATCCCGGAACCCATCCCCCATGAAGAAGCAAAGGATGACTTTAGCTGATTTACCATGTCTCTCCAATGTCAAAGTTAAGTTTCAGACATTGGTATTAAACAACCATCACTTAAACAAATACTTTAGAATCATTCATGCCTCTGACACTGCCCTGAGAATGCACCACGTGTGATCCAGATGGACATGGAAGCCCTGAAGCAGATGTGGTGAGGATCTGCACTCCTGAGGCCCACAGCCACCTTCACATCTGAGCAGATCCCCGAGAGCTGGAGGGAGAGGAGAGTGTGGGACTCATTATGTGGTCCAAGCCTCTCGTTTATGAAGAGGAAGCTGAGGCATGTTTGGAGATGAGGACACATCCTAAGTCATTTAGTAAATCGTCAAGGATTTGTTAAGTGCTAATTCCAGGTTTCTCACACAATCCTGTTTGATAATTTGACAAAAGTGACTTGGATGTTTCACCAGAAAAATGCACATACAGAAGGGTAGAAGGGTTAACAGCTCAGAGATCCATTTGTGTTACCCTAAGCAGTAGCTTCTCCAAGATGCTGGGAGGAGAGAGGATTCTAATCTGGAGGCGTCTCAGGATGTGAGGTCACATTTTTACCATCTTTCTGAAGAGCATGTGAAATGAGCGGGAAAAACAGGGAAAGGGAGAGGGAGAGAGACAGAGAGAGAGAGAGAGGGAGAGAGCAGAGAGGCAGGAAGGCTTGCGTGGCCAGTAGCTGCCTGAAGGCCTAGACCTCTGCGACCTCTAAATTGCTCCTGTCCTGCCAGATACCAAAGCAAATATTTTCAGATGAATGCTGGGAAATGAGAAGGTGGGCAAGACACACCGTCTCCAGTTGCATCCCAGTCAGCACTGAGCTCTCAAAAGCAAAGGCATCATCGGTTTCACTCCTCCTCGCTCCCCCCTCCCTTCCTGTCTGTGGAGATGGAAGCTCCCATGGTGAGCAGGCTTCCCGGGAGAGAGGTGCTGGCCTAACACTTGGACACGTGGTCCAAAGGGCAGAGCTGCAACAGCAGGGATTCTTGGGCAGGTCTGAGTGGACTCATGGGAGTGAGAGGTTCAGGGCAGAAGGGTTCACCTACCTACGGGAATGATCTTGGCTATATGTAGAGATTCGGTTGTAAGTGTTCATCACAGTGTTGTTTATAATATCAGTAAAGTGAAAAGAATCCAAATATCCACCAGTAGAGAATTAGCCAAATAAGTATAGGTACAAGGGAATATAAAACACAATCCTGGTATCTATTCACCCATCTATAATTATCTGCCTCTCTAATTTGCCTGCCTGTCCATCCATCCATTATCCATCCATCCATCCATTCATCTATCCATCCAATCTATCAAGCGATGTACACATTCACTGGGCCTCTCAACAGACACCAAACTCAACACTGTAGTACTTAACAATGCTTTAAAAATTCTTGTCCCTCTTTTCTCACATTCTTGCATTTTTCTTGGTATTTATCCATGAATTACCCCCTTTCTACTTATACCCAAAAATCTTAAGATCTTGCCTTTACTCCTCTTCATTTCCTTCTACCTTTATTCTTTCTCATCTTACAAAAAAGAGAATTTTCTATTCTCTCTTAGCCAGTTCTTTCTAAACTAAATTTTGCATCCTAAAAGTTCAGCAAGCCAGATAGTGAAAACAGAATTCTTCTATCAGAGGAGAAGTAGGGAGTACTGAATGGGCATCCCCAGAACAGCTTTAGCAGGTAGACAGTCAAAAGATATAAACAAACAAACCTGAACAAATGTTCAGATTTCCCCTCCATCTCACTTGTATTGCAGAAGCTTTGCTATTTTTGAACAAAGTACAATACTTTCAGAAAATGTGTGCAGATGGGCAGACCCATCACTGTGCATGACAGTTACGAATTCCTCTGTATTGTGAAGGATCCAGGGATGATGTTTCTGAACCAGAGAAGGAATTCTGGAAAAAATTCAGGGTCAGTTTTCCCATCACCACCTTTGACTTTCAGGAGAGTTCATGCACACCTATCTAGCGAAGGTCTAGAAAATTTTGAGATGAGTTTCTATATCCTGCTGAGTTTCCACATCCAGCATTTTCTCTTTAAGTTTCCCTTTCCTAGGGTAAACCCACTTTGCACCAACCACAGCTGTAAACATCTGGCCTTGGGTAGGTAATCAGAAGGTTCCCTAATTCTGAGCCCATTGCCAGTGGTGGGCTCATGAACCAAGCTGGCCGTCAGAGTCTTCCTAAGGAGCTTCCGACTGGAGCTCTGGGAAAGATGGTTTTCCTACTGACATGGCCTAGCAGGGCTAGCTGAGGCCGGGGCCGCCAATGGCTGTCTCCATCACACAATGAAAGCCAAAGAGAAAAGAGACAGAAAGGCAGACTTTCTTGACAGTATCTCGCTGGAATTCCTGGATTTAGCTATGTCTGATTCCCAATCTCATTCTGGGATTTTCTATTTCTAATTTTTGTTGGATCTAATTTGTCTTGAGTCTCTGTATGTATCAATTTTCCAATTTCTAGGACACATTACATCTGTAATTTAAAAGGGAGGACATTTGTTTTGGTTCAGGGTTTCAGTTCATGATGGGATGGCTCCAAGGCAGAGTATCACGGAAGAAGGACACAGAGGAGGAAAGCTGCACAACTCATGGTATCCAGGAAGCAGAAAGACGGAAAAGAACCTTAAGAAAGCAGGCCAGGGGCGGAATATAGTCCCACGAGTAACACCTTCTTCACCCATTTTCTCTAACTAGGTCCCGCCTCCTACAAGCCCATTTCGCTGTGGGTTGGTGAGTTTAGCTTCCTTATCATCCAATCACATCTCTGAGAGTCTCTTCATCCAGTCAAGTTGACCATCAAAATTATAGTCTACTACTTGCAACTCAAAACAATCATGCCTAATACAGGCCCAATATGCAGAGGTTAGCATTTTATATGGCTTCTCTGATCCATACTCTCATCCTCCACCTACCTGGTGGTAAGAATTCATTTCAATTCAATTCAGTTTCACTCTGTATGATTCCACCAACTATTCAATTAGATTCAGTATAATTAAGCTCACTTAGTTTATTTTGAGCAACTATTATGTACAGGACATTTTCCTAAATTCTAGGAATGCAGTAGTGAATGTGTACTGTTATGACTCATATCTAGATGGCCCTCCATAGTCTCACGCAGTCACAGGTAGGGCTTTCAGGAGGTGTGTGGACCTCCTGAATGATGCTGGGATTAAGGGTATGTCATTACTAAATTAGTACAATGACAGGTTTAGCTTATTTCTGGATGAGGATAATGAGAAGGCTTACCCTGGGTGTGGGTGGCACCACCCAAAAGGTGGGTAGCCTGTAAGGAATGAAAGGGAGAAGCAGGCAGCCTGCTGCTTGGGGCTGGCTGTCGTCTGCCTGCCCTGCCTCACCATGTACTGTTTCTCCTCCTCAATGTCCCTCTGCTCTGCCGTCCCGCCTTGGAGCCAGCTATAAATGGTGAGCTGAAATAAACCTTGATTAGTGGTATTGAGTATTTTGCCCTAGCAATAAGAAAAATATCTAAGACATATATCTGTCTTTATTCTGAAGGAATTGAAAGTGACTTATAAACAGCACACAAGTAATATGATAAATGTTCTTATACATCAAGTGCTTTGGGACCGCAGAGAAAATTAGACCCTTACAATTCAGGTTTTTTTTTTTTTTTTCTACAATGGGAGCCAGTATGGTTTGTATGTCAGAGCAAGGGCTTTGGGACTATTGGGGTATATTTAACTTTAACTGTTTTATAGCTAGTGACTTTCAGACAAAAGGCTTCACCTATTAGAGCCTTATTTTGCTCATCTATAAAATGGGGATGATAAAAGAATCTATATAGGTT